AAATAACATGCACATAATTGGAATCCCAAAACAGGAAGAAATTAGTAAAGGCATTGAGAAAGTTGTGGAAGAATAACTAGAAGAAAACTTTCCAGGCATAATGAAGAATGAGAGAATATATATTCAAGAAGCTGAGTAAACACCATATAGAATTGACTCCAAAAGAAAAACACCAAGGCATATCATAGTCAAATTTGCCAGAACCAAAGATAAGGAGAGAATTCTGAAAGCAGTGAGGGAGAAACAAAGAGTAACCTATTAGGGAGAGTGCTGATTTTTCAGCAGAAACCATGAGAGCAAAAAAGACAGTAGAATGATATATATCAAACATTCAAAGAACACAGCTGTCAACCAAGAACACTATACCCAGCAAACTGTCCATCAAATATGTAGGAAAGATCAAGATATTATCAGAAAAGAGAGTTTGTAAAACAAGACCAGCATTGCAGAAAACAATGAGAGACATCTTCTTTACAGAGGTACCGCAGAAAGCAGGATGGACCAAAGTAACCAACTAAAAACCTTGCCTCTCAATAATCACACTGAATGGAAATGGTTTAAATGCACCACTGAAGAAAGAGTAGCAGATTGGATAAAAAACCAAAACCCATCAATATGCTGTCTTACAGAGACACAGCTGAAAAGTGAAGATCAAGAAAGATTAAAAATAAGAGGATGAAAAAAATATACCAAGCAAATGGCAACCAGAAATAAGCAAGAGCAGCAATATTAATCTCATAAAATAGATTTTGATGCAAAAACTCATCACAAATGAAAAGGAAAGTCACTACATAATGTTAATAGAACAAGAGGACATAATAATAATAAATATCTATGCACCAAATGAAAGACCTGCAAAATATACAAAACAAACTTTAACAAAACTAAAAAAGGAAATATACAACAACACTATAGTAGCTGGAGACTTCAATATACCACTCTCAAGAAAAGACAGGACTACCAGAAAGAAACTCAACAAAGATCCTGAAGAATTAAACCAGACAATAAACTGACTTGATCTCAGATACATATAAGCTAATGTACCCCCCAAAAGCACAGTATACATTCTTCTCCAATGTGCACGGAATGTTCTCCAAAATAGATCACACTTTAGGTCATAAGGCAAGCATGAATAAATTAAAAAACACAGAAATAATACAAAGCATCTTCTCAGACCACAATGCTACAAAATTAGAAATTAATAACAAGGAATAAAGGAGGAAAACCCATCCATTTGGAAGCTGAACAACATCTTGCTTTAACATGACTGGGTAATAGAAGAAATAAAAAAAATCAAATTAAAACATTTCTTGAAACAAATTACAATGAAAACACAACTTACCAAAACCTCTGGGAAACAGCCAAAGTAGTAATCAGAAGTCAATTTATAGCAATAAGCCAACACACGCAAAGACAAGGAAAAATGATAGTTGACTCTCTAATCCAACATCTCAAACAAATTGACAGATAACAGCAAGAAAACCTGATAGTTGACTCTCTAATCCAACATCTCAAACAAATTGACAGACAACCGCAAGAAAACCTAACACCATCTAAAAAAACCTCAACAAAATAATAAAAATTAGGGCAGAGATAAATGAAATAGAAAACAGAAAAACAATTGAAACCATCAACAAAACCAGGAGTTGGTTCTTCGAAAAGGTCAATAAAATTGACAAACCACTTGTAAAAGTAACAAAAGGGGAAAAAAATACCCAAATAATCCAAATAAGAGATGAAAGGGGAAATGTCACAACAGAACCAACTAAAATAATAGGGTTACCAATGGAGTATTATGAAAAACTATACTCAAATATGAAAACCAAAACCTAGGATGGACAAATACTTAAAAACTCACAACCTACCTAAACTGACACAGACCAAAATCAAACACCTGAGCAGACTTATTACAAAAGAAGACACTGAAAATGTAATAAAAGAACTTCATAGCAAAAAAAAAAAAAAAAAAGCCCTGGACCAGATGGTTTTACAAGTGAATTTAATCAAACATTCAGAGAAGAACTGTCATCAATTCTACATAAAGTATTTAAAAATATAGAAAAAGATGGAATTCTCCCAGACTCATTCTATGAAGCAAACATATCCTTGATACCAAAGCCAGGAAAGGACACCACCAAAATAGAAAACTATAGGCCAATATCTCTTATGAACATAGATGCAAAAATCTTGGATAAAATCCTGGTCAAAAGAATCTGATGACACATCAAAAATATAATTCACCATGAACAAGTAGGATTCATAACAGCTATGGATGGTTCAATATAAGAAAAACAACTGTAATTTATCACATTAATAAAGCAAAGGACAAGAACCACAGATCCTATCAACTGATGCAGAAAAGGCCTTTGACAAAATCCAACTCCCTTTCCTGATTAAAACAGTCAACAAAATAGGAATAGAGGGAAATTTCCTCAATATAGTAAAAAACATATGTGCAAACCCAAAAGCCAACATTGTTCTCATTGGAGAGAGATTAAAGACATTCCCTTTCAGAACAGGAAGTAGGCAAGGATGCTCACTATCACCTCTCCTATTCAATATTGAATTGGAAGTCATAACAATATCAATAAGACAAGAGAAGGAAATAAGAGGTAACCAAATTAGCAAAGAGGGGGTAAAATTACCTCTATGCAGATGATATGATAGTATACTTAGAAAACCCTTAAGACTCAGCAAGAAAACTATTGGACACAGTGGACCAATTCAGAAAAGTAGCAGGATACATGATCAACATACAAAAATCAGTTTCTCTACAGTGACAAAGAGAATAAAGAACTGGAGCTAAGAAAAACAGTACTCTTCACAATAGCTAATCACAAGATTAAATACTTGGGAGTAAATCTAACCAGAAACACAAAGGACCTATTTAAAGAAAACTACAAAACGTTACTAAAAGAAACTAAAAGAGACCTGGAAAAATGGAAGAATATACCTCTCCCTTGCATAGGAAGACTCAATATTGTGAAAATGACAATTCTACCAAAGGCAATCTATATGTTCAATGCAATCCCAATATAAATACCAATTCCATTCTTCAATGAGATGGAAAAGGCAATTTCCAATTTCATGTGGAATAGAAAGAGACTCTGAATATGGGAAGCACTCCTTAAAAAGAGAAACAAGGTAGGAGGCATCTCACTCTCTGATTTCAAATCCAATTACACTGCTGTGGCAGTCAAGACAGAGTGGTACTGGTACAATGACAGACAACATAATAGAATTGAGAACCCAGAAATTAGCCAATATACCTATGGTCAACTGATTTTTGACAAGGAGAGGGAATCTGTTAAATGGGAAAATGACAGCCTTTTTATAAATGGTGTTGGTAAAATTGGAAAAGTATCTGCAGAAAACACAAGCATGACCCACATCTCACACCATACACAAAAAACAACTCAAAGTGGTTCAAGGACCTAGGACTAAAACCAAGGACTAGAAACTTCATTAGAAAAGCTTGGGAGAACTGTAGAAGCTCTAATCCACAATATGAACAGTCTCTCAAACTACCTGTAAAACCTAACACCAGGAGAGGAGAAAATAGATGAATGGGACCTTCTAAGAATCAAATCCCTATGCACATCAAAAACTTTCCCAACAAGGTAAAAAAGAAAGCCACAGACTGGGAAAGTATAATTGGTAATGACATGCCTGATATGGGACTTATCTAGAATTTATAAAATACTCGAGCACCACAACAAGATAAAGGTAAACGACCCAGTCACAAAATGGGCATAGGATATGAACAAACACTTCACCAAAGAAGGCATTCAGATGGCAAACAAATACATGAAGAAATGTTCAAAATCCCTAGCTCTAAGAGAGATGCAAATCAAAACAACTATGAAATATCATCTCACCCCAGTAAGAATAGCAAAACTTAACATAGCAGCAAACAACAAATGCTGGCAAGATTGTACTCATGGTTGGTGGAAGTGTAAAATGGTGCAAACAATCTGGAAGGCAGTATAGCACTTTCTCAAAAAGCTGCAAATGGAAATATCATTTGACCCACCAATTCCACTACTGGAAATATACCCTAAAGAAATCAGAACTGCCACACAGATATATGCACACCCATGTTTATTGCTGAGTTGTTCACAAAAGCAAAGTGATGGAAACAACCCAAGTGCCCATTAACAAATGGATAGAGAAGCTACGGTATATTTATATAATGCAATGCTATGCGGCACTGAAAAACAAGGAACTCATAAAATATTATACAAAATGGGTGACCCTGGAAGACATTATCCTCAGTGAAATATCTCAGTCACAATAGGACAAACACTGTGTAATGCCTCTGTTATAAAACAGGACTGACATGGAGGTTGGGGGAAATCTAAGGAAAGAGGGGATGAATAATGTTTCACTGCATTGAAACAGAAAAGGAATAGAACTGCTTAAAAGGAATATAAGATTTTCGAATTATTTGCATGACAATAGTCTAGAATAAGAGCTGCATAGTAAAGAGGACTGGGTATGTGTGGGGAATGAAACAATGAAAGAATTTTTTTCAAAGAGAAAAGAGAGCTGGGGGGCAGGGGGCAGGGAGAAAAATGTGCAACAATGAATGAATGAAAATCCAAGTTCTCTTTAAACTTTCATTAAAAACTAAATTAAAAAAATGATGGGGACATTGGACAGTTTCAAAATAATTACTTAAAAAAATGCTAGTTTATCCTTACTACTATGTATGCCTGAAGCCAAGTCACCTTTGGGACTGGACACTTGGGAAGAATGAAGAGAACTTATTATCAGCCAAAGAATAAGATAACTATAAGAATAATTAAAAAATAAAAGTATATTAGGAAAAAAAGAGACTAATCCCACTAGTTGGAGTGAGAATATAAATGGTGAAAAAAATACATGACATGTAAAGGTGTACTTTTTTCTAAACCTTTTTGTCCTTATGTACCATTGATAAAGGGCCGGTTCATAACTGGCCCTCCAGACCATTTTTAGAGGCAGTACACAGCAGGGGGAACAAATATGTCTTGGAGAAAATGTAGCCAGAGCGCTCCTTGGAGGCCAATATGACAAAGCTTTGCCTTATGTACTTTGATTATGTTGCTAGGAGGGGAAAGGTGGAGGGTCAGTAAGAAAAGGTAGATCCTTAACCAGGTAGATTGACAGTGACTGCTGCATCTGGCTCTTGTGTGTCAGGCAGTGTGAGGATGGCACAGATAGGACAGGGTTCAGATCGGTTGTTCATAGGGTTGCTATGGGTCATACTTGACGGTACCTAACACAACAACAAATAGCACGGGAGGACACTGCCCATCTTTCTCTCACAGAGTAACTGGTGGATTTGAAATGTGTGCCTTTGGGTTAGCAGTGCAGCTCCTTACCATAGACCACCAGAGATTCCCTTCTAAACCAGAGGTATAAATATCTTTTCAGTAGGTTACTGTTAACATTTGTATGGAATAAAGAAATTTAACTTTGAACTATGATATTCACAAGTTATGAATCAATCAGTGACTTTTGTACCCTTCAGAACAGGTATGAATTACAGATTTATTTTATTATTTTTGCTAGCCATAATTACTCACTTTAGGAAGACTTCCTCCATGGTAGTAATTGAAGCACCAAAGCTGGCAATGCCCAGTTCTTTCTGGTTTTTATCAATATCATCAAACAGAGCAACAAACCTAGAAAGAGAAGAGGAGGATAAGAGAACTAGGACAAATGTAGGTGAATTTTTAAGATTGTTTTGTTCCACAATAATTTCCCATTAGTTGGGGGGGAAATGTTTTCACTGCAGTATGTGGTGAAAACACAATGTAAAGATGAGGGGTTTACTTTTGGGCAAAATTATCCCCAAACTAACTTGACCTTTCATGCATGTTTTCAGTTTTTTCTAATAAAATTATTGGATGCTAATTTAGGTTAAGGACTATAGCTAGTTGGTATGAGTTGTTCTATTTCTGTATTATTCTCCTATCAAAGAGAAGTCTCTATTCACAGGGAAAAGACACCACTCAATCACAGTGACAATAAAACTGACGGTGAGCATTGAGAGAAAAATGTTTAATTCAATAGCAAGAAAGTGGTATGTGTGTTTTTTTAATTGTGTTAGAATTATAGCAAGGGCTTGACAGAATAATTTTACTAGGAAGGAGGGATAATATTTTAAGCATAAAAGTAATCTTCTTCAGAAACCAAACTAGATCTTGAAGGCATTATTCATTCCCAGAGTTAGTGAATTCAAAACTCCATTTTCTAAATTTTCTGAATCCCATTTCTATTTAAATTCACCTAACTTTAATTATTAATTCTAGTTTTATCCTTAAGTACAATCTGACCCTCTTTCAATCACAATTTTTCACATATTTATAGATAATATTCCTGTTCCTTTTGAGACTTCTCTTCAGTAGGCTAATTCCAGTGCATGTCTTCTCATTTATATTTAATAACCCAAATGGTCTTCTGAGGAATATGGTGTATGTTTATGTATTCATTATTGTGTAGTTTTTGCTTTGTTATGCATTTGAATTTTGGTATTGTCAAATGAGTTGAGAAATAGTACCTTCTCTTACATTTTATAGAGAAGTTTTAACTAGCTAACTGCTGTTGTAAAATTCCTCATTTTGTCTGTGCCCCTGCCAATCCTCTTTAAAGAGTTGTCATTCAAGTTACTTTTTGAAATTTAACAAATTTAATGTGCTATTGGATACTATTCACAAGGAATAAAACTTTTATGTTAAAAATACTCTACTAGGAAAATAAAAGACGTATTGTGATGGGAAAGTCTGCTGTTAGGGACCTCTCCAAAGTACTGAAGAGCAGTTGTGCCATTCTGGAGACTAAGCTATGCATCAGAGAGTTGGACAATGACCAGGGAGGACAGGAGAATTGATGCCTTTGAGCTCTGGTGTTGGAGAAGAGTAGTGAATATACCATGGACTGCTAAGAAAATGAACAGGTTTATCCTGGAGAGAGTTAAACCAGGCTGCTCCTTGGAGGTGAAGATTTTGAAGCTTCATCTGACATACTTTGGACATGTTGCAAGGAGGGACCAGTCCTTGGAGACGGGCATCATAGTTGGGAGAGTGAAGGGACAGTGCAGAAGAGGAAACCCTCTATGAGGCAGATTGATTCAGTGACTGGAGTTATGGGGGTAGGTGTGTCAGAGACAGTGAGATTGGCACAGGGTAGAACAGGGTTTAGGGTTGTTGTACATAAGGTCACTAGAAGCTGCAGGCAACTTGACTTAACACATAACAACAACAATAACTATTAGCTATCACTTATTAACATCATGAAGCGCCAAGCACCTTAAAAAGACAGAATACAATGTTAAAGAAACCTTGAATAAACCTGAACTTAAGACACAGTCTTTTCTTCAAAGAGAGAAATAACCAACTATGAATCTCTAAATTCCAATTAGCAAAGGACAGCTATAACTGGAACCCTAGGGCTTGTTATACAGATTAACACTACTTATTGAATAAAAACTATTTCTGGCCACTAGAAAATCATCCATCTAGGACTTCATGGGTTCATACCTTTGCATGTGTTCTTTTGGTAGAAAAAATGATAACACAGTTGTAATATTGCTCTGCAGAGTGGCATCTGGAATGTGAGAATCAATCAGTGAGGTGATCCTTTTAACATTACAATGAGGTTTCTTCTCCATAATTATGTGGTATCCAGCGCCTAAAAAAAAAAAAACAAAAACCAAAACCATTTGAAAGATTGAAGTAATTTTGCATTTTTCAGTTGTCTGATAAGATCAAGTTTGGTTCTCTAAGATTCAGGTAAGTCTGAGGAAGGAGGCATCATAGTTGGGAGAGTGAAGGGACAGTGCAGAAGAGGAAACCCTCTATGAGGCGGATTGACTCAGTGACTGGAGTTATGGGGGTAGGTGTGTCAGAGACAGTGAGATTGACACAGGATAGAACAGGGTTTAGGGTTTAGGCTCATCTACAGAATTTCCTATCTAAGATTCTAAATAAAGTTAAACAAATGAAGGCATTGAATGATTCTGTAATTTTAGTAATTTTCTTAGTGAACATCAATAATCTACTGTATATAGCCAGTTATAGAATAAGAAAAAAGGACCTTGATATCTGGCTATTTTTATTTTTTGAAGCTACAATAAGTGTTCATGAAATAATTATTATTGGTTGTCCACTGTTTATTGCTATAACTCGACCTCTGAGTACTGTTTTTGCCTTGTCCCAAAGATTTAGAAAGTTAATGTTCATTTTCATTTGTTACAATAAAGTTTAACTCCTTCTATTATAGCATTCAAGAGTGTTGATTTAGTTTCCAAGTACCCGTTTTCCCTTTTCATTTTCCTGTTGATTTGCAATTTTATAGCATTGTGATCTGATAAGATGGTTTGTAGGCATTCTATTTTTTTAAAATTTGTGACTATTTTTGGAGTGTGTTCCATGTGCATTGGAGAAGTATATTGAGCTTTTGTTGAGTGGAGAATTTTACATATGCTGATGAGGCCAATTGTATAGTTTTTCTGTGTTTTTGTTAACTTTCATTCTAGTTGTTCTGTCCTTTATTGAGAATGGTGGTATGTGGAGCTCTGGTGGCCTAGTGGCAAGAAGGGCACTGCAATTGCAGAGGCGTGCGGTTCAAATCCACCAGGTGCTCCGCTGGAAAAGGAGGGACAATCTCCTCCTGTACTAGTCAGATCCAATTTGACAGTACTCACACACACACACACACACACACACACAATAATAAAAAAAATAATGCATGGTGGCATTAAAGTTTACCACTACTGTTTTGGAGTTTTCTATTTCTTTCTTCAAATTTGAATTGTATATTTTGAGGCTCTATCACTGGGTGAATAAAGATAAATTATAATTATGTCCTTTTGTTTTATGGAACATTATTATATAGTGCCCTTGTTTTTTCATGTTTTTTGTGTTGAAGTCTATTTTATCAGAGATTAATGAATATTGATGCTCCTGCTCTTTGATAGTTTCTCACCCTTTGATTTTTAGTCTGTTTTTGTGTCCAAAGTGAGTCTGTCATGTTTTTTAATTCATTTTCCTATTCTTCTTCTCTTGCCTGGTGCATTTAATTCATTCGCATCCAGTGTAATGATCCACAGAAATGGATTTATTGCTGTCATCTTGCTGTTTTTGCGGTGTTGATTTGTTTCATCTACTTTTCTGTGCTGAGTTAATTTTGTGTATAGTTTTGCTTTTCCCATGATTTCCTACATTACTCTTGTTTTAGCTTTAACACTTTGTGATTTTCCCCTTTTTAATTTAGGTGGTATGGTTTATTAATTTATTTATTAATGTACTATTTTATTTCCAAAGCTAGGACAGTTCATCTCTTTTAAAATAGTCTTGACTCCCTCTTCATTTAGAAGTTCTGTTATTACATTGCTTATTCCTTCTTATTACTTGGTAGTCATCTTCATTTACAGACTGATGTCTCTGCTTTCTTACTCTTAGCTTTGTGAGTTAAGCTTACGTTGTGTGTTTTAAAAGTCTTGAGCTGGTTCTGCATGGTCTTTTCATGTGTGGTTTATTTCTGGTTGATGTCTATAGTTGATTCTCTATGTAAAGAACTCCCTTTAGTATTTATCAAGTTGCTCTGTTGCGTTGTTTTAAGGAGCCATTTAGTATGACTCATAGAGACTCTATGAACAGCTGATCCAAACACTGTCTTATCCTGTGCCATCCTCACAATCTCTGACACACTGAAGCTCACGACCACAGTCACTGTGTCAATCCACCTGGCTGAGGGTCTTTTTCTCTTTTGCTGCCTTTCCATCTTCCCAATCATGGTGTCCCTCTCCAAGAAATAACTTCTAGCAACATGCCCAAAGTACATGAGACCAAACTTCATCATTTTTGCCTCCAAGGAGCACTCTGGCTGCACCTTCCTCAAGACATACCTGTTTGTTCTTTTGGCTGTCCATGAGATCTTCAGTATTATTCTCCAACGCCAGAGTTTCAAATCTGTCAATTCTTCTTCTGTTATCTTTTGTCACTGTCCAGCTCTCAGATACATAGCAAGTGACTGTTAAAAGGCCATGGCCTATATCTTCAATCTTTAAACTGACACCATTGCTCAATTATTTGGAGAGGTCCCTGACTACAGGCTTAGTGCAATATGTATCCTAATTTCCTGGACTGCTACTACCAAGTGCATTGATTGTGAATTCAAGTAAGATGAAGTCACTGACAATTTCAATCCTTTTTCTACCCACCATGATGTTGTCTATTGGTCCAGTGGCGAGGATTTTTGTTTTCTTAATGTTGAGATGCAATCCATATTGAAGGCTACAATGTTTAACCTTCTGCAGCAAGTGCTTCAAGTCCTCCTCACAGCAGGCAAGGTGTGTCATCCATATAATGAAGATTATTGATAAGTCTGCCTCCAATCCTGAAGCCACATTTTTCTTCATAAGTGTCCTACTTCTCAAGTCATTTGCTTAGCATATAGAGAGATATGGAGTAAGGCATACCTCAGATACATACCTTTCCTAATTTTAAACCTCATGAATAAAAAAGAGTTACCTACAAAGGGGAACTAATAAGACTAAGCTCTGATTTCTCAGAAGAAACCAAGGAGGCAAGAGGGCAATGAGGTGACCTATATAAAACTTTGGAAAAAAACAATTACAAACCAAGAATTCTATATGCAACAGAACTGTCCATAAACTATTACAATGAAATTCGAACAATTTCAGAAAAGCAGGAATTAAGGGACTAATGAAAACTGTTAACCAAATTTACGATTTCTGTATGATTGTCTTTGTTTTGAAAAATTTAACGATATGTCCTGGAGATTTTTTTTTTTAGTCTACCTTGTTTGAGGGAGCTCTGGTGGCCTAGTGGCAAGAAGTTGCACTGCAATCCGAAAGGCATGTAGTTCGAGGCTAACAGCTGCTCCACTGGAGAAGGATTAACTCACCTCTTGAATGCGATTTTCTCATTTTCCGTAACACTTGGGAAGCCTGTTCCCCAGTTGATCTTCAAGATTTTACTGAGCGTGTGTGTGTGTGTGTTTCATTTTGGAATCTCAGTCACATGTAAGTTACTGCTCTTTGGCTGTTTTCATTTCTCACACAATTCTTATGCTTTCTTCAGTTTCCATCTTATTTTTACTCTAGCAGATTACTCCTAGGGGCTTGCCTTCTATATCACTAAATTTATGTTCCATTTCTTTAATCCTACTCTTTTATCTTTCCAGTGTGTTTTCCATTTCTGAAATTTCAGTGTTGATATCCTGAATTTAATTTCCTGTTTTCTACTGATGTTAATTTTCCATCGATTATATCTATTTGTTCTTGCACTGATTTTATAAAGTTCTTCCAGAATTTTGTCTACACTTTCCTTGATTTTTTGTGTTTTTTTCCCTCAGTCCCAGTGATTTTCTTATCAGTTAGTTCCACTAGCATGTCTTCCTCTGAAAGATTTATTGATTGTATATTTTGCAGCTTGTTCTTGTTGTTTTGTTTTTAAAATGATGATTGAAGTTGTCTGCTGCCTCCAGGACATTGGGGTGGTGTAGTGTTTTTAGTCTCTCAACTATCGTCTTCTGGTAGGTGTGACAGAAGATGGGGATTCCTGTGTAGTTCTATGTTCATAGTTCATGTAGAACAGTTGAATATAGTGTGGTCTGGAGAGGTTACCATCTAAGGTCAGTCAGGTGGGGCAGGGACTGGTTTTTACTCTTGTACAATGAGCGAGGCTGTAGGAAATGTTTGTGTGACTGGGCTGTAAGGCTGCTCTTGCTTTCTGCTCCCTGGTAAGACTCAAAAGAGAGGGCACAAAAGCAAAAGAGGAAGGGCAAGGGGATAAAAAAAGAGTAGGGGAAGGGGAAGAGAGGTAAGGAGGGGGTGGAGAAAAGAGAGAAGAAGGGGGGAAGAAGAAAAATAACAACAATAGCAAAACAACTCCCTAAAGATACAAACAACAACACCCCCCCAAAAAAAGAGTACAGAGTAAAATAAAAACAATAATCTTATGACTGCTGTTGTGAGTTGTGGCTAGATATCTGGTCTGTGATAGTGTTTTTGCTCATCTAGTGGAAGACTGAATTCTGCTCTGGGAAGAGATTCTACTTGTTCAAGAAGTGGTGAAGATAAAGAAATGCTCAAAATCACCAGCAAGAAGAGAGATGCAAATCAAAACCACAATAAGATACATCTCACTCCAGTAGCAAAGTTTAACAGGACAGCAAGTAATAAATGTTGGAGAGGATGTGGCAAGATAGGAACTCTTCTACATTGTTGGTGGGATTGTAAAATGGTAAAACGACTCTAGAAGGCAGTTTGGTGTTTCCTCAAAAAGCATATGACCCAGTTATTCCACTGCTTGGAATATACCCCAGGAGAATGAGAACTGAGGCACAAACGGAGTCTTGTACATGGTTGCAAGAACATGGAAACAACCCAGATGTCCAACCACAATCAAAGGGATTGATAAATTATGGAACATTCACACAATGCAGGATTCAAGAGCAATGATTTTGTAAATTACTGCCTAACTTGGGAGGGACTGGAGAGCATGATGCTGAGTGAACTAACTCAGTCCCACAGGACAAATACTGTATAAAACCATTATTGTAGAATACGTATGAAGATCCAAGGGAACAGGGTGGAAGCAGAGTAGTAAGCATGGGTGGGGGGTTAATCATAGGGTCGTACAATTTGATGGGGGTGGAGGTGAAGGAAATGGGAAAGATCTGGTGTGAAAAACAATATATTCAAACTTTGTGAATAAACCAGTTATAAAAAAAAGAAAAAGATGACATGGTGAAGGCTGCTGGGGAGAGTAGAAGATGTAATGTGCCAGGTCTTCTTAGGGGGCAAGAAGGGACAGGCTTCCCAGCCTTGGGTGGCTTTTCTGCCTGACGTCATGATCTTTCCAGCTTTGCCGTCTCTTTCAGTCGAAGGGCAGAGTTCAGGCAGGACACCTAGGCTGAGCTGGCTCACTCTGGTAGCATGAGGAGATAAAGGGCATTTGGGGATCATGCCCGCTCTGATCTTCACCGGTAGCAGACTGCTGCTAAGACGGTGCCCACTCTAAGCTCAGCAAGAGAGGTGATTGCACATCTCTACATGGGGTGGCAAACTCCCTCCATCTAATGCTCCTGGGGGTTTTGTGCCAGATGTAGTCCCTCAGAATCTGAGATGCTCAATGACTGTGCTGGAGAATGTTCAAAGAATGTTCTGCTCCAAGTATGGTTGTGACCTATTCTGTTGTGTGCTACACACAGGATCTAGCTGGATACAAGGACTCCAGTTCCAGACTATACTTTTATCACTTGGGCAGCTGGTTCCATGTGGGCACAGTCTGGTTCACCTTAGAAAATAAGTCACTGGGTGTTGAGGCAGCCAAATACACTCCCAGATTCAAAATGGGGTGATTCTGTCCACAGGTGGAACTGGGAGGGGACAAGAGTCAGGTGGAAAGTCATTCTGCTGATCCCCGGAGCATGTAGATGAGGGAAAATAGGGGTCATACATTTTTCAACATCTATCAGTTGTTGGTGTATCACTGTTGCAACTCTGGGCCTATGTTGTTGTTGTTGTTGTCTTCTATTCGAGCACGACTCATAGCGACCCTGAAGTCCCTTTACAACTATCGACATTTATCAAAGTTCATAGAGTTTCTGGAGGCATGTTGTTTAGGAAGTGGATGCCACTCCTGCTTCCAAACCTGTCTTAGTATGTTATTGTTGTTATGTGCCATTGAGTTATCTGTGATACATAGTGAACCAATGTACAGCAGCTCTGAACCCTTCCCTGTCCTGAGCCAGTCTCACTAATTCTGACACACCAACCCCCATCGCCCCAGTTACTGTATCAATCCATCTCATCCCGGGTCTTCCTCTCCTGCGCTGTCTGTTCACCCTTCTGAGCATGATGTCCTTCTCCAAGGACTGATCTCTCCTGGCCATGTGCTCAAAGTAAGTGAGGCGAGCTTCAAAATCCTAGCCTCTAAAAAGAAACTTGGTTTCACCCTCTCCAGACAGACCTATTTGTTTTCTCAGCAATCCATGGTATATTCAAGACTTCTCCAGCACCACAACTTTGAAGGTACCTTTCTTCTTCTTCAGGGCCTATAGTACCCCCAAAAGCCCGCAGAGGAAGAGATCAAATTGGATGCCCAGCAGTGGATCCCTTTACAGTTACCTGCTTCATCTGTCTCCTTAATTGGCATTTTCAGTTTCTTTCTTCAGTTGCTATTTCAATTTCCTCTTTAAAGTTTCCTCTGAATCTGAGAATTCTAGGACTATCCTTTGCAACTGCTATTATTACTATTTTTCAGTCTTCTCTGCAGAAGGTCTGACCTCTTAGTCTAATTAGTTGTCTGACATATTGGAAGCCTCTTGATATGCCAATTTTACTTCATATTAAAACCATATACTTATCAAAGTAAAATATTTTATTCCATTTTTATTATCACTCATTCTGAACTATATTCTTACTGTCAGTTGTCATACTTTAGGTTAACTCATCACACTGGATTGGATGCTGGTTCGGCAGGGGAGAAATTATCTGATTTATCTACTTGCCCTCCCTATTAACTAATCAGTTACTAAATGAAATAAATTCTATTTGAAGGTATAACAACATCCCAGGGAGAAATAAAACTATCAGAAAATACAAAATGGAAGAAATGAGCAACAAATTTTTATGGGTCAAGAGAAGTGTTTTCTTAACCTGAAGACAGATTCTGAAGAAGTACTTCATATAGACAGAGAATATCCAGATTGAAAAATGCCTTAAAGATAATTCTCTAATTAATATATCATTAACAGGAAAGATTGAGCAGCTACCAAAGTTTTGGTTTGTGTAATGCATTGAATTATGTCCTTTCAAAATGTGTTCTGAATTCCTGACTTATTGATGTGATAGTTTGGGGCTTTTCTTTTGTTATGTTAACAATGCCGTGTCAGCATAGGATGGATCCTAAGTATAATTACTTTGGGCACGTGGCCTGGAAGGACCAGTTCTTGGAGAAGGACATCATGCTTTGCAAAGGTGGAGGGACAGCGCAGGAGAGGAAGACCCTGGATGAGATGGATCAATACAGTAACTGGGGCAATGGGGGGAGGTATGACTGAGTCAGTGAGACTGGCTCAGGACAGGGCAGCCTTCAGACTGTTGTTGCAAACAACTTGACAGCACATAACAACAAGAAGTTATAAAAAGACAAGAACAGCTACAGATAGTTACACAGGGGCAAGATAGATGCCAAGGGACATTAAGGACTGACAACAGCTATCAGCAACTTTGAAAGGTGGTAACAGAACCAATCAATTTGACAGAAACCCAGGTTTAGAACTTTAGCCTCTAGAACTATGAGAAAATAATTTTCTTATCTTTAAAACTACCCATTTGTGATACTCTGTTCTGGCATTATTAGGTAACAAAGGCAGACAGACCAAAAAATAGTGGAAAATAATGTTCAAAGAATACTTATTAAGTATCAGTATCCTTAGAATGATCAAAGGGAGAGAGACCATATATTTGTTTCAAGAAGGCTGAAGAACCACAGCACTGCAGGGTCCCCCTGACCATGATGGCGATGCGGTCACCCAGGACGTCAGCTTCATCCATGTAGTGTGTGGTCAGCAGGATGGTGCGGTTCTGTTTATACTGCTGAAGGAGATCCCAGGTCGTCCTCCTTGAGACCAGATCCATGCCAGAGGATGGCTCATCGAGTATCACCACCTGAAAGTCAGGAGAAGAACGGCATGGCTCTAGATACCTGATGCTATCCTACCAGAAGGATAACTGGCTAGTCATGGACACATTTAAAATAGAGGATCCAGATTAAAATAAAGGGAAAATCCCTAGGAATTCCTAATTCCAAATTCCAAGACCACACTATAGTCATGTTATTCACCTGGGTCAATTATCCTTCTAATTATCACTGGCAGAATTGATTTTAGGCGATTAGATTTATATCAGTTCTCAGCCATGTGACTACTGACTTGTCAAAATTCCTTGACAGCGATTGCCACCCCCCTTTTTTTGTACTGCTGCAAAAGTTTATTGAACAAAACTTAATATGAAGAATATACAAAGCTTGATTTTTGTATCATAGTAAAACATAGTAAATTCTCTGCTAGGCAGTCATTATTCATATACGCTCCAAGGCTTCTAACATGACGAGACTATTTCCTCATCCTAGCACCATTCCAGTATTGTTTGCTGTCCACTAGTTGCTATCTCCACACACTCTATTACAAGATTGATAAAGGGATCAAATCCTCACACTACTCCTTGGACATGTCTGCCACCATTTAATTTCAAGAATAACTTCTTGTCCATAAATTTTTCCCAATTCCGGCGGGTGAGCTTTGTTCATTTTGCCTACTCAGAAGACTCAATGCTGCGTTCAAACAGAATATGCTTCCTCGCTTACTTTCCCGGGATAGGGACCCATTTGAAGCGTGCGTGTACGCTCAGCTCCATCAGTTTCTCCTTCTCGCTCCTTCCCCTCTTCCCTCCCTCCTCTCCTGGAATACCTTGGAGTTCCCTACAAGTGCTATAATGATGGAGAGTTTGCGCTTCATTCCTCCACTCATTGACTGTGAGTACTCGTTACGGTTTTCTAGCATGTTAAAAGCAGACAGCATATGGTCAGTTTCCATAGGATACATATTTCGAGGTATTCCTTTTATCTGGAAAGAGGAGTTAAGAACTTACATGGTGCTTTCTACATCTACTCTTATAAAAGTCTCACTTCAGAACTTTTCTTATACACTAGAACTTAACTCTAGATATGTCTTTCTGTTATTTATCTTATTACATCAGTTAACCATAGTTTCCTGTTGAATCAAAGACAGAGTTCTTAAAAGAAACCCCAAAACTCAGGATTTATAAAAACATCTGCGATACATGAGCCAAGGGACAAAGGAAAACATCATTTGCTTCTAGGTAAGATGAAGCGTAAACACACACACACACACACTGGAAAGTTTTTTTAACATTTTTTCACCATAATTTGAGTGAAAGCTTATAAAATATATTGACTCATCAATCAGTCATTCAAACACAATTTTTCTTTGTAACATTAATCATAATACTCGTAATGTCTGATCATCCTTATATTCTATATTACTTCTCACTTCCTTCCTCTAATGAATGAGTCTATCTCTAAACTTGGAGATTTCAGAAGTAATTAACAGTTGGTGGACAGTGGAGAATATCCGGAGTTGAATTATCACTGAACCATGGTATTTCTAGCACTTAAGTAGCTCCTGGTCTGAAATTAAAGCAACGTAAAGCCTGGGAGTGAGCAGTGTAATGAAATGAAATCTGGGAGAAGTTCCGGCTCAGTGAGAGAAAAAAGGAATTCCCAACATCTCATAGAAAGTGTTTCAGACTGTAACAGTTAAGAGCTAGATTAACTAAAAGTCTAGTAATTTGAACATTCCAGTGGTCCTTGGAATGAAAACGTGATGATTTCCTTCTGTAAAGAGAGGAGGTAAAATGTACAACAATGAATGAATGAAAATCTAATTCTCTATAAATATTAGTTAAAATCACAATTAACATAAAGTTTTATTTAAAAAAAAAATGACAGCCTTAGAAAAGCCCATGGGGAGAGCTCTACTATGTCACGAGATCATTAAGAGCCCAGGTGGACTCTATGGCATCTAACAATAACAACAACAGTAACAGCAGCTCAGACAAAGGGTATAATTACACTCCACCCCTATCCCTCCGCTCTCCCACCCCACTCTCTTCTGTCCAAGTCACTAGGCGGTACTGCAGCACGGATGGGAACAAGAGTATTATGAGAGTATCATAAAAGAAGCAAAAAAATATTCATAAAGGGGAATCTTCTTCAGTGTGTAGATCTGCAGTTCCAAGAAGAAATTCTAAAGTTCCATTTTCTTTCTTTCTTTTCTTTTCATGGAAGACTTTATCGTCTGTGGGGAGCGCTGAGAGAGACCACAGCTTCTCATGGGTCAGACTCCTCCGTTGTTTTTTACCACTTTTTCTCTATTTCCCTTCCACTAGGCTCCAGATTTGGCACAGTCAAAAGCATGGATGATTTCTGAATGAAGGATTGAGAAAGGATTCCTAGGCAGCCAGAAGATACAGGGTAGGTAACAGGTCTGGAGGAGTAGGAAAGTGATGTATAATTGTATGAACTCATGCATGCATGCGCATGCATGAATCTAACGAGTAGAACTGTGTCAAGGTACCGTCCTGACCAATGGATAACATGTATACAAGGGAGACTGGAATATATTGCCAAGGCTTTGATAATTGTCAGTGGAGTCACCACCCACAGAAAGGATAAAAACAAAGTGTAGAGTCTTCTGGTTTATATTTCAGAATGTCTAGGGTAGGGAAAAAATCAATTAAAACCCTGGCATGCCCAAATACTGGCAGACTCAGGGCCAGAGACCCCCAATTCATCTGGCAAGTCCCCTCTGCTGACACCTACTTGGATTTGTCAAACACCGTAACTGGCTACCCATCATGCGCAGTTTTTGTTGGAGCTCCCAGATTGATTCAGTTTTGGAAGCTAGACTGGCATTCACTTCCTAAACTACATGCCTGCGGAAAGTCTAAAAACTCGGAGAAATGATAATAGTTACAGAAAGTCTTCAGGCCTTTGTTCATCTTCTGTTTATAGATGTATCCTTCTCTCATGTGTATTCAGTTTATAAAGTGGACAAATCATTAAAGAAGTTAGACCCTATGAAGAAAACATGTGGTATCAGAATAGGAGGAAATTGAAGCAGCAGCTAATGCTCCCAGATGGGCATTTTGGGTGGTGAGAGCCAATGAGGATGCATGAATTTGGAATGATGGAGCTCATGGAGTTTGACCCATGCTCTGGAGGAACCTCGGGCCTACATCCTTCAGGCCTGTTTTTAATTGCTTTTTGGTCAAACATTCTTTTAGATCGTATAGCCCTGATCTGTCCTCTTGCTGTACAGAGGTATCTTGTGGTTGCTGTGATGCTGAACACCATAACACTGATGTATCAAATGTGATAACGATTACCCATGGTATAATCATGTTTGGTGGAGCTCCTTGATTAAAACAAGATTAGAAGCAGGAGTGACATCCACTTCTGAATTAGCTTGTCCCCGGAAACCCTATGAACCTGAAGAAAGGATGAAACTTATACAAGTGTTCAGGGTTTTTTTTCACAGGGTCGCTATGAGTCACCTACGACTCAACGGCACTTAACAACAACAACGACAAAATAAAAATTACGGAGAATGCAAAGCATCACAAAATTGTCAACTCACAGAAAACAAGACAGCTGACAGATATCAATAACAAGACGACATGGATGCTGTTATCTTCCAAAGACTTTAATGTAGTTATAAAAATGCTTGAATGAGTAATCATCATTTCTAATAACATATACTAACACAAATTAGTAATAATATATTTAAGACATCGAAGGTAATTAGAAATATTAGGCTGAAAAGAACAAAAATGAACTTGGTATATTATTAATACATTACTATATAATTATATAATATACTATTATATAATTATATATGATTAAGATATAATAAATTGAATGGATATGTTTATGAATAGAACAGAAATGACAGTAGAAAGGGTATGTGAACTTGAATATCAATCAATAAAAGTTACCCAATCTGGAAAAATAAAAATGAACATGATACAAGAAGCTTTTGTGGCAACAACAAAAGTCTAACATTCATGCCACCGTAGTGTCAGAAGGAAAGAAGAAAAAATGCTTGGCTAAAAGGTTCAGAGAAAATAATGACTGGAAAATAACCAGGTTTAACAAAAACGTACAAACCATGTTGTTATTGTGGTTACTCACTATTAAGTTAGAACTGATTCACAGCTGACTGTCCAGTGGGGTTTCAGAGGTAGTGAATCGCCTGGGAGGAGACTGGTCATGCCAGTCCAACTCCTTAACATATATAAACCTATACATTTAGTAAAATGGCTGATCCTCATGTAGGATCAACAAACAAATGAACATCCAGACACCTCACAGCCAAACTAAAAAGACAAAATCTTGAGTGCATATACAGAAAAGTATTAATTATTTACAGTGGTGTAATGTTTCAGATGGCTATGAATGTCTTATTAAAAAATCATGAAGACTAGAAAGAAGTAGGACAGAATTTTTAGAGAACTAAAAGGGGGAAAAATCTATTCTTGAAATGGTTTTTAAATTAAGGTGGGATAGACTCAAGGTCTGGTTCTTTGAGGACTTGATTTCATGTTCTTCAACTTCAGCTTGAACTGGCACATGAGTCACTGATGATCTGTTCCACAGTGAGCCTCCTGGCCTTGTCTTGACTGCTGATACTGAGCTTCTCCATTGACTCTTTCTCCAGTTGTAATCAGTCCGGTGAGGTCCAAGGATATAGTCACCATACTTTTTTTTTTTTTAAAAAAAGGTATTTGCAATGAATAAATCTTAGATTGTACAAAATTCTGTCATTCCATCTTCAACCTCCTTTCTGTCACCAAGTTCATATTTTCCAAGTACCAGTCCTCTTTTGTTTCCAACTTTTGTATTCCAGCCATCAATTATTATTAATGCCTCTTGTTTGCATGTTTGATCCATTTCAGATTGCCAAATCTGGTAGAATTCCCCAACTTATTAAGCTTTGGTTTCAGTGGTTGGTGTACATGTATTTGAAAAACAGTTGTCTTACTAGGTCTTCCTTCTATGTGTATGAATCATATCCTCCTATCACTCCAAGGACTGTACGTCAGGTTAGATCTTGAAAACACAAAACCATACTTCCTCAAAAGAGAGACTAAAACAAAAGGAAGAAATGATGATATAAGAGTTAAACAGAAGATTTCAAAAGGCAGCTGGACAAGACAAAGCAAAGTATTATAACAAAATGTGCAAAGAGCTGAAATTAGACAAACGGGAGGAACACACTTGACATTTCTCAAGTTGAAAGAATTGAAAAATAAATCCACCCCTTGAGCTAATACTGAAGGGTTCTGTGGGGAAACTCTTGAATGAGACAGGAAGCATCAAAAGAAGAGAGAAGAAATAAACAATGCCACTGTATCAAAAAGAATTAGTCAATACTGACCCATTTTAAAAAACAGTATATGATTATGAATCAATGATAATGAAGGAAGAAGTTCAAAGTGCAGTAAAGGTGTTGGCAAAAAAATAGGGTGCCAGGAACTGATGAAGTACCATTTGACATAGTTAAACAAAAAAGATACAGCCCTAGATGTGTTCACTAGCCCATGCCAAGAAATTCGGAAGACAGCTACCCAGCCAACTGACTGGAAGAAATTAATATTTGCTCTAGCTTTCAAAAAAAAGGGTGATAAAACAGAATGTGGAAATTATCAAACAATATAATTAATATCAAATCCAAGTAAAATCTTGATGAAATTATTAAAAAATGGCTGAAATAGTACATTGATAGAAACCATAAGAAATTCAGGTTCGATTCCAGATGGAACTTGGCACAAAGCAGAAAATACTGTAAAGATGCTTATTTTTGTCTTAGCTACTATTAAAAGATATTTGAGTGAATAGATTACAATAAATTATAGCTAACATCGGGAAGAATGGAAGAATTCAACAGACTGCAGAAATTACTGAACAATGTAATTGTTGTTGTTAAATGCCGTCAAGTTGTGGGTGACTCATAACAACCCAATGAACTTTCTTCATTTCTCCACGTTCATAGAGTTTCCGGAGGCAAGCTATTTCGGAAGTGGATGCCACTCCTGCTTCCGAGCTTGTTTTAAACAGGGAGCTCTGCCAAAATATTGACATTCAAACTACTGAAACAATAGGCAATAATATGACAGATGGAGAAGACTGAAATTGTCAACAGTGTCGTTTTACTTGGATCCCAATCTATCCAAGGGCAGCAGCAGTCATAAAATCAAAAGACATGTTGCACTGGGAAAATCTGTACTGAAGGGCAGATATTAATTTGAAGACTAAAGTGCTTCTAATCCAAGCCATAGTATTTTCAATTGCTTCATCACCATGCTTTTAAAAGTTGGACAATGAATAAGCAACACTGAAGAATAGATCTTTGAATTGTGCTGTTGGTAAGGGTATTGACTATCCCATGGACTGCCAAAAGAACAAATCAGTCTGTCTTAGAGGAAGTGCAACTAGGGTGCTCCTCAGAGGCAAGGATGGTGGAACTTCATGTCACATACCTTAGCGTGCTGTCAGGGGAGACAAGTCCATGGAAAAAGACATCATGCTGGGAAAAGTGGAGGGTCGGAAATAGAAAAGAAAACCTTCAACAAAATCAAGATACTCTGTGCTTTTGGCAGTCCATGGGATATTTAGTACTCTTTTCCAGTACCACAATTCAAAGACAACAATTCTTCTCTCATCCTTATTCACCATCCAACTTTCAGATTAATAGAAAGCAACTGAAAATACCATTGCTTAAAACAGGAAAACTTAATCTATAAATTGATATCCTTGCTTTTTAGCATTTTGGAGAGGCCCTTGACAGCAGATTTTACTCATGTAACAACATGTCTTTTTATTTCTTGATTGCTGGTATCATTGATGTTGATTGTGGAGCCAAATAAAATGAAATGGGTGACCACTTCAATTTTTCGCCATCTATTGTGATGTTGCCTATTGGTCTAGAGGTGAGGATTTTCAATTTATTGATGTTAAGATGTAACATGCATAGAACTGTAATAGGAATTATATTCCAAGAGAAATAAAATATTAACACAAAAATGTACATGCATGCTCATATCAGCTTTATTTATTAAAACTCCAGTGTCTTTTTGTTTCATATACAAATACGCAATGCTACTTAACAACTAAAAAGAAAAAATGATTGACAGAAGAAATAGCATTGATGTATCTCAAAAGCATTACGCTGCACACTTCTTTAGCTCATTTACATGGTATTCTGAAGAGACATAATTGTGTAATTGGTGTGTTAATTTTGCTACTCTATACAGGTATTTAAATTCATAGATTTGAACAAAAAAGTCAAATATATTGTATGTTTAAAATGCAAAACTTAAAAAACAAAACAAAACCGCAGAACTTACCATACAGTAGAAAAAAAGGTGTTCTGATACTGTCAAGTCATCATACAATAAATCATGCTGTGGACAGAAGCCCAAATTTTTCCGAATCTGAAGTATGTTCCTTGAAATGTCATATCCATTAATATAAGCTGTTCCCCTGGTAGGGGGAAAAAGACCTGAAATTAAGGAGAAGACATAACAGACAATTAGCTTTGTTGAGGTAGTAAGATAACACTCTGAAAAGTAGCAGATTTTAAAAACTACAGTCAAAAGGCTGCTCGGAATGACAAAGCAAAATACTACAATGAAAT